AGTAAGTGCTATTATTATTCCTGTTCTACTGATGAGGAAACTGAGGCAGACTTGTGCAAGGTCACACAGCTAGCCAAGTGTCTGAGGCTGGATTTGGAATTAGGTGTTCCTGATTCAGAGAGAGGTGTTCTATCCACTGGGCCACTGAGCTACCTCATCTATGATATACCATATATATGCATATATATATATATATATATATATATATATATATATATATATATATATATATATATACATATACACACAATTACATAATACACATATATAATGAACAACCCCTACAAGTGACTTTAAAAATCCAGAAATAGTTATACTTTGCAGAAGTATATTATAACAGAAGGGATGTCAAAGTCAAAGTCTGGAGATTTGGATTAAAATCTTACTCCTGATACTTACTAGCTGCATGGCCCTGGATAAGTCACAACCTCTCCATGAGCCTATTTTCTCATCTGTACAATGGAGACGATAGCAATAAATATTTATTAAGAGCCTACTATGTAATTGGGGTCATGAAGAGTTAGACTGGACTGAAAGGACTGCACAACGACAAAAATGTACCAAGTACTGGTTGTTGTTGTTATTATTGAATTGTGTCTAACTCTGTGACCCCATTTGGGGTTTGCTTGGCAGAGATACTGGAGCAGTTTGCCATTTCCTTCTCCAACTCATTTTACAGATGAGGAAACTGAGGCAAACACGGTCAAGTGACTTGCCCAGGATCACCCAGCTAGTAAGTATCTGAGGCTAGATTTGAACTTGGGAAGATGAGTCTCTGTGACTCCAGACCTGGCACTCTCTCCACTATGTCATCTAGCTGCCCTCTGTTAATAATAGTATTGCCATATAAGTGCTATCTATTAAATTAGAAATCCCTACAACAGTTCCCAATACAAATTGCTGCTTAATTAGTGAAGTAACCACCTCCTTTTTGATTCATCCTCCCCCTTTCCCCAACTTGTGCTTGGATTGGATTGTACCCTACTGGAGAACCAAGGTTGTATTTTTCAGCTGCCTATCTCCAGCTAGGACCTTGTACTTACAAAGCATTTAATAAGTATTTTTAAAATCATAATAAGGATGACTAAATGACAGGAAGCCTATAAACTGGGATCTAGCATCAGAGGATATTTAGGTAAATAAAATGGGCTAAGTGAGGAAGAGAGTCTGAAAGCCCCAAATGAAACTTTCTAATTTGTCCCTAAAGGCAAAAAAAAAAAAGAGAGAGAGAGCCTCTACTGGATTTTGAGAACTATGGGATTTAAAGGACATCCAAGAGAGTAAAATGATGCTTACCTCTAGGTAGGGAGCAGATTGGAGAGGTTATATCTGCCAAAGCTAAAAAGAGACTATTACAAGTGTTCGGAATAAGGAATGTCAAAGCCCAGGGCAGGACCAGAAAGACTCGGAGAAAAAAGAAACCTAAAAAAAAGAAACATCTATTTATTTTGCCTCTTTAGAAAATTTTATTTTGGCTTTTTAAGACCCATTTTAAAAAAACAGAAAAAAGTTATAGGTCCTTCTCCTAACCCCACCTTACATTTTCAGTTGAGCACGATGGTACAAGGGATCTTATTGGAATAGCCCATGGAGATTTAGGTGAATAATGAACCTGAAGACCAGTGTCTGTAGGCCTTGGAATGATGGTGTGCTTTGCCCCGGAATTACTTTCACAGCACAACTCCCTCACTGAGGCAGGGATGACCATTCATCTAGGCTGCCATGCTTGATTCCTAATAGACTCTAAAAATCTTGCAATAGAAATCACTCTTGAAGAGACCCAGCCTTGAGACATGAGTCTTGAACATCTTTTGGGCATTTCTCATTTGGCGTAAGCGTTGGTAACATCCACATTGCCACCTATCTCAGATTTTGGAAATTCTGGGACCCCCAAAAGTGACTTCGTGGGCAAGAGCTGGCACATTTTTTACAGAGATACACATAAGCAGATTCAGAGATCTAGAGATATACGTAGAGACTTCCTCCAGCTCTAGAAATTCAAAGCAGCCTTCTTTCTGCTTCTCACACATGACACACTATGTCCCATCTCTGTGTCTTCGCATAGGCTTTCTCCCATGCCCTCCTGTCCTCACCTTCATTTCTTAGAATTCTTAGTTTCCTTCCAAGTTCTTTTGAAGCACCACCTCTAACATGAATTCCTTCTCGATTCCCCCCCCATATTAGTATCTTCCCCCAATTACCTTTAATTTAGTATATTTATAAACATATATAGTTGAGGGTATTCTTATTTATGTGGAGATGGTGGCATTGGTCCTTTTTGGGAATGAAGGGTGAACAACAAACAACAAACAGTCTCCCTCATTAGAATGTAATCTCCTTGAGGGCAGGAACTATTTCATTTTGGTCTTTGTATCTCCAGCATCTTAGCACAATCTCTGGCACACAGTAGGTGTTTATTAAATGCTTGTTGGATGATTGACTGAGTGATTTCAAAGTTGAGCCAAAATCATCTTGCTAATGATTCAAATCAAGTGTTTTATTACTGATGTATACAGAGTTTTACAAAAGTCTTAAGTACAGTTTTAAGCTTGACTAGCTTAAATGTTTGTGTGTCAAAAAGAGATATTGTAGTTGACACCATAGACATAGATAGGTATATATGTTCACACAGACAGTCATGTATACACACACACACACACACACACACACACACACACACTCATCCATAATACATCCCTAGGATTCCAACCTGGGTCCTCAGACACTATTAAAAACCTAGGCAAGATGGACTGTTATATTCAAGCATTCAAACGACTTTTATGTTTCTCAATAAATTGTCCACTTCTCCAATGTAAGATTTTGCTACTAATAATTGGCCTGTGGGCCAAATTGTGGGCTAGCTATAGCTAGATGAAGCAGTCCACAATGGCCCTACCAAGGGTGATGACTTTGCAGCTCTCTATTTGATTATTAGTCCCTGAATTAAAGAATGTAGAAGCTTGCTATCTTAGGTGGGGAGTTAGAGAGTGGGAAGAATCTGTGCTGGTGAATGTCTAACAACCAGCTCTCTGAAAACCCACAAAACATTTTAAAGTTTAATCTGCATTATTTAAATTTTCTCCATAAGCTTCTTAAGTCTTAACAACCAACAAAACAATAAATCAAGCCCTGATTTGTAGCATTTGCTGATTTCTAAGGTGTAATGATGGAATAATAACTGTATATTAATTATAGATATTAATAAAATAACCAACATAATATAAATACAAGTTATTACATTTAATATCATAGCATATAACATTACATTTAATACTATATAATATACCATAAATATTAATTAATTAAAACATTCATAATAATAAAAGGATTTGTTCTATGGAGTTTGGATTCAGTCAAAGGGCTGTACCTGAGGGCCTAGAGGGCCATGTGTGGCCTCAAGGCCACAGGTTCCCCACTCATGGTGTAAACCCTCATACTGAAAATATAACAATTGGCTTTCCCTAGCTGATTAGAGCTGGCTCCAGCACACCTTGCTTCCAGCATAGATAAATTTCCCTCTAGATCAGGGGTTCTTAACTTAGAGTCATGTTTTTTTTAATTGTTTGTTTCTAGTGTTTTGATCATTGCATTTCAATACAATTATAAAATATATATAATATGCTATATATTATATATAATATAATTATCTTTTAATATTATATAGTTTATTTTAAGCATTTAAGGAGCAGACACTGCCAAAGGAGTCCATGACCCAATAAAGGTTCAGAACTCCTGCTCTAGTCCGGCTGATGGACATCTATGTAATTTAGAGGCAAAATCAGATGCTTTTTTTTGAGTGAGTAGTTTCTGAAGTTGGAGGCTTGACACCTCATCAAGAAGATACAGTTGGTGTTTTGATGACATACCGAACTAACTTACTGGGAAATGATTGTTCTGTGCCATATGCAGTTTCTGAAACAGAGCCAAGAAGATGCTGCAGTTCCTATAAATGGTGATCAAAAGAACTTTGTGTTTAGCAAACTTATGTTCACTTTAGACTACTGATTTAAAAAAAAAAGAAGACAAACTGTGGCCTACAAAGAAAGAAATTAAGAAAGAAATAAAGAAAAACCCAGTATCAGATCTGTAACCAAGGTGGGGTAATCAGGGCTTTGTCACAAAGTGTGGAATTTAGATAGCACTACATTTAAAGGTTGTTGGCAGCATTCATAATTCTTTAGCAGATTAATTAACAATAATTAGTTAAAATAGAATCTACTAAATATCCTCCTCTGATCACCAGCAACCTATGTTGCACCTATGTTCTAGGGTCTCTGTCTTCTACCACTCCCAACCCTTACTCAACTAAGGGCCTCAGACACTTGACACTAGATATGTAACCCTGGGCAAGTCACTTAACCCTGATTGCCTCAGAGGAGGGAGATGAGGAGGAGAAGGAAGAGGAGGAGAAGGAGGAGAAGGAGAAGGAGAGGAGTCTGGGTCTGCTATGTATACACTTGGGATACAAGGTCTTAATTCAGGAAAAGAGCCTGAAGGCATAGAAGACCTCATTCTAGGCACCAACAATAACTTACCTGGTGTTATTTAGCGTGGCCTCAGTGGGAGTGCATGCTTCAGGAGAAACTACTAGGCACTAACTATAGGTCTTGAGTCCTACAAGGAAAATTTCTTTTCTTTTTCTTTTCTTTTTTTTTTTAGGCAATTGGAGTTAAGTGACTTGCCCAGGGTCACACAGTTAGTGTCAAGTGTTTGGTCTGAGGTTGGATTTGAACTCAGGTCCTCCTGACTTCAGGGCCAGTGCTCTATCCACTGCGCCACCTAGCTGCCCCTAAGGAAAATTTCAAAATTGCTTTTGCAGAGTCGATAAGTTCGATTGCTTGATGTATAATGTAGGGACTTAAAGGCAGGGACTGTTTCTTTTTATCTTTGTATTCCCAGCACCTAGTACTGTGCGTGGCACATAGTAGGCACTTAACAAAATGCCTGTTGATTGATGGATTGATTTGGTTTTGGTTCTTTCCCTTTCCTCACCCTATTAGGTTCTTCTGCTCGAATGCCAGTCATCAAAAACCTCCAGAGCATTGACCCCAACCACAGGATAAACGACAGGGATTACATGGGCTGGATGGATTTTGGGCGCCGCAGTGCTGAGGAATATGAATATTCCTCCTGAAGAGGGTCAGAGCCCAACCGGAAATCCAACTCCCCATTCTCCACAGAAAAATAACATTAACAAGACTAATCACTTATCATCTCAACAAATTGATGTTTTAAATATGCATCATATATATTTAAGTATTCGATGTAAAAAATCTGCCTGTAAAATTGTATGATGTGATATACATATATACAGAATTTTCCAAAAGAGAGAAAACAACTTATGTTTCCTTTCCCTATGATTTCTGGTCCTACACAGTTGATGTGATATTAAAATCTCATTCACTCCTCTAAACCTAGTCTTGGCTGTTTGGCAATGAGCTATAAGGGTAATTAAAGTACAAGTCCCAGAACCACATTTTAAGGTCCTGTAAGATCATTCTAGTGATTGACCTCCAGAGGGCACTTGGGAGCCCAGCCCAAATCCAGGTTAAAATGATTGTCCTTCACCATGGCTATGTTGCCCTAGAATCAGGAGTCCATAAAATTCAGCTCTACTTAGACTCATATATTCCTAGTCTACAGCTCTTGGCGACCATGGCCATTCCTGGCTCTCCTTTCCCCTTTCCTTTCCAACTGCAAGTTGACTGATGAGATATCTGCTAACTGCTGCAATTCATGGAATAAATAGAATATTCTCTGACTTATGGTGAGTTATGTCTTTGTCTTATGAAATAGTCTTGGGGAATGACCAGGTGTGGGAGATGTATGGTAACAAACTGAAAGACGGATCTGCTAAATTGTCCTTGAAATAAAGAACCCAGAATTTATTAAAACACCCACACATTATTTTTGTTCCTGGCTCATTTTCCTCTAATGATTTCTAAGCTTGGATTATATAAGAAGTAACCCAAATAAAACTCTGGACCCATTGGCTCATGCCTGATTTCCTGGTAGTGGGGATATGTTTTTCTCTAAGGATTAAACTGGGTAACAGTCTCCCAGGATTCCAAGTTGGAGTCTTTGGCTCTATTCGAATCAGTCCTTCTCTTGAGTAGCCAGAGGGGAGTGATAATAACGATAGCTAACATCTATAAAGCACTCAAATGTAATCATTTAAATGTATTATCTTATTGGATCATCCCAGCAACCCTGGCAGGAGCTAGGTGCTGTTATTATTCCCACTTGACAGATGAGGAAACTAAGGCAGGCAGAATTTAAGTGACCTGCCTAGGGTCTCACAGCTAGTACCTAGGGCAGAAGCATTTTCCTCCACTATGAAGGCAAAAGAGGGAAGATGGCAATCTCGCCCTTAGAAAAGTTGGAAGGAAGAGGGAAGAGCAATCCAGGGCTTCCACTTTTTTTCCTTTATTAAAGCTTCAGCTATCAGCAAAGCTGATTTTATAACATCATATCTACCTTGAGAGATATTTTATTATGAGCATTCATGATCTCTAGGGTTTGGGACTGAAGCAATGAATTCACTGGTAACAGGGAACTCCTGAGTGAGCAAACTGCCACTGTTATTGGAGATGGGCACCTTCTCTGCAACTTAAATCTTAAGTATTGCTTAGGGCCCCGAGGAGGTAAGTAACTTGCCTAGAGTCACACAGACAGCGAATGTCTTTGGTGAGACTTGAACCTGAATCTTTGTGACTGCCAAGTCTTTTCTGAAAGTCAAGGCTGACTTTCAATCTACCGTATCAAACTGCCTCTCTTGAAATCTTTATCCAGTTTAATTTCTATAATTTTGTAATGTGTCTTACCATCAACATTAAACCTTTGAGTGATAAATCCCCATGTTTTATTTTAAGTCCAGACTGATACTTTTTATATCCTTCACTCAAAAGGCTCTTTGTCTACTACTGGAAAAGACATTTTGATGGTCAATGAATTGGATGACATCCTTTAAACCATGTAGGGGCCCAGAGCCTAGAAACTAAAATTTCAGAAGTGTCACTTCTGGTCTGAATGCATGAGTTATAAAATTTAAAAATAAATAGCTGCATATTACTTTAAATGTCTGGATTGCTTGAGGTTTAATCTGTGAGATGTAAACCTCAGGTTCCATTTTAGGTTCCAAGCTTCTCCCTTCCCTCAAAATTCTTCAAATATCTTTCCATTGCACCTGTAGACGAAATATCAACTTCTTATCCTTTACTGACACAGTCCACTCCAGATAGAGTTTCAGCAGAGCCCCACAAGGTCAGAACCTCTATCTTTCTGAAAGCTATTCCTATCTTAATATACACATTTGTTGTTGAGTCATTTTTCAGTCATTTCCCACTCTTTGTGAACCCATTTGGCAAATACACTGGAGTGGTTTGACATTTCTTTCTGCAGCTCATTTGACAGATGAAGAAACTGAGGCAAACATGGTTAAGTGACTTACCCAGGGTGACATGGCTACTAAGTGTATGAGGCCAGATTTGAACTCAGGAAGAAGTCTTCTTGACTCCAGGCCTGGCACTCCATCTACTGTGCCACCTGGCTGCCCTTATATAATATACACATACATGTGCATAAACACACATATACAGAAGAATCTAGTGGATAGAGAAACATCCTCAGGGCCAGGAAGACCTAGGTTCAAATCCCAACTTTGACATATATGGACTGTGTGACTCTGGATACTGGGTCTAGAAACCTCACAATGCTGCAGGAGAGTCTTACTGACTATAAATTGCAGAGAAAGTGCCATCTTTTGTTGGTACAGGGAGTTTCCTGTATCAACAAAATCAGTTCTTCTCTGACCTATAACACTTGAAAGCTGGAAGGCAGATGACTAACAGAACAGACAATCTTCAGCCCAACCACATTTATTTCTTCCTCATGCCCTTTTTCATCCCTTAGGTTTGTGCCCAAACTCAGTTTTCTCCCCAACCCCACACTTCTTCCCAAGAATACCCTAAGTAGCAAATAAAAAAAAATTAACAGCTATAACAGATGTATTGGCCTAAAGGGTTGGGGGCCCCCTCCCTCACTAAAGAACCCTACATCTGAACTCGGGAACTAGATCCTATCCTAGGGGATCTTGACTTCTAAAGAGGTCTTTTTTTCTCATTGTCTCTGGCTAATTACACTCTTACCTCAAGGTACACTGGTAATAATCTCTTAAAGCTTAAGTCTGATTCATGCTTAGGACTGGCTAACTTCTAACATGGTCTTCAATGTACAAAGTAGATCAGATATAGGACAGTTATTTATTTCTTCCACCACAAAAGAAATGCTTAAACACAAAGACTCAAAACCATACTTTAATAACTACTTACGGCATGATACAAATTCTTAAAGCATGGATAGACATATGACACTTTCACTTCAGATCTGTTGTATAACTAACTCATTGAAGGTTCTTCTGGCCAGTCCAGCAGGCATGGCTCATTCTCATATCATCTTCTCCTCCTAGAAGTTGTAGCTGAATGGATCACCAATTGCATGACAACCAGCACTGACTGAGAAACCCAGAAATTCCTGAACCCTCAAGATAGCCATCAGGTTCAAAAAGACTCTCAGGATTTTGTGCAGTCATCTATACTCAAGGAAAGAAACGCAAAACAGAAGAGACAGGCTGAGCCTTGAAGTTCAGCCCCAATCTCACCTAGACAAGCACATGGCTCACTCCCCACTGCTCATAATAGCCATAACTGCTTATCCCTCTCCCCTTTCTGGACACAGTATGGGAAGTCTAAAGAAAGGCTGTCAGAGTCCCAAACCACTTGTTCAGAAAAGAGGAACAGTCAAAGTCAAAGCTGTCTCTCCCTTGAAAGTCCACTGAGCTCCTCACACCTTGCAGTCAATCTTTTTTTTTTTTTGTGGTGAGGGTAAAGGGAGAGAGAGGGGAAAAAATGGAAGTACGCATGGGCACCAACCAGAATCTTCTAGTTAGCAAGGAGCCCAGCCACTGGAAGTGATCAGGGCTCATGCTCAGCTCCAAGGGAAATGCCCTCAAATAGGTTAGGAGGGATAGGGCAAGTCCCCTGAATATTCTCATTACACATACATCTCACTTTAAATGAACACAATAAATGGCATTTCAAACTGATGAAATTCATGAAGGGACTTGGTCTATTTTAACTTGAGGCACAGCCATCCCTCAATTAGAGTGGAGAACCTAGTTCTTCTGACTCCAAATCAAGGTTGGTGAATTAGGGCAGCTGCCCCATTCCCTGGGCTTTGAAGATGTGGTTGTATTGCTGTGGAGACCAGGATACTGAAAGTATGCAGTGATGCAGGCATGCAGGAAGCCAAAGACTAGGAAGGAGGTGTTTCCAAAAGCTAGGGCCACTTAGTACCAATGGCCTAGAAATAGAGAAAGAATTCAACCAATCTTTGCCTAAAAAAAGAATCCGTGCTCCAACATGCCTAAGATATGAGGGTCTTTAGGGAGAGTAAACCCAATGATTCGCCAAAAGTCATGCAGATGGTGAGCAGCAGAGGCAGCGTAAGGGCCCAGGTCTCCTCACTTCCAGATCGTTGCTTTTGACTACACTGATTTTCTGGCCTGCCTTTGACCTGTGATACTCTTGACTTAGAGCCAGAAGGGTCCTTAGAGGCCATCTTGTCTGACCCCACTCATTTTACTTTTCTTTCTTTCTTTTTTTTTTTTTTAGTGAGGCAATTGGGGTTAAGTGACTTGCCCAAGGTCACACAGCTAGTACAGGTCAAGTGTTTGGTCTGAGACCGGATTTGAACTCAGGTCCTCCTGACTTTAGGGCCAGTGTGCTATCCACTGCTCCACCTAGCTGCTCCCTCCCACTCATTTTACAAGGAAACTACGTCCCTGAGAGAGAGAAATGATTTGCCTAAGGTCACACAGGTAGTAAATCATAATATCAGGCTTCAAACCCAGGTCTCCTGACTCCAGAGTCAGCATTTTTTTCACTGTACCTTGTATATCAGCCCTGGGGTCTATGGGGTGTTCAAAGAGGACTAGGAACTCTGGGGTGAATTAGCCTTTTTAGGGCTGCTCGTTCACCTTTGGTGTCCACCTGTCACCCAACTTTCCAAGAAGCTGTGGCATGCACAATGGCTGCACCCCAGTAAATTGTCTTGGCAGATGGGCTAAACCAGGTTGAGGGTAACCAACAGGCCTCAAACCCGTCAGTGAATTAGGGGGATGTCTACACCAAGCACATGAAGACTTCCTCCTATAGAACTGGCCAGTGAGAACAATTTGCTTTCAAAACCACGAAGGCAGCTAAAGCAGACACTGCAGAGCACTTAGAGCTTAGTTGGACATCAAAGATGCCAAAGTCACCCACTGCGCCCTGGCCAGTCGCCCTGACTTTTGTCCTGCCACTGGAATTCGACGACTCAGGAAGAGAGAGTGAGGCTGATGATTTTGTGTGACTTTGCCTCACTTAAGTCCAAGCCGTCATCAGTGATCCCATCGGTCCTCTTTGAAACGAAAGCTGAACAACAATCTTCTTATCTAGCCAAATTCTCAGTCCTGCTCCCTTCCGGCCAACGTTGTTCTGCACCCCCGCCCCCAACCCAAATGCCAACAAGTCAATGAATAAGCAGTATTTGATCCATGAAGGTTCACTTTACAGGGAATTTTGCTGATTTGCATCTATTGCATAAAGCAAAGGACATCTGTAATCTCAATGAATTGCTCTTAACCTACTTGTTGTGTGAATCACACTAGTTAGTCAATAAGCATGTCTTCAGTGCCTATTATGCGCCAGACTTTGGGGACACAAAAGAAGGCAAAAGCCAGGCCCGGCTCTCAAGGAGCTCCCAGTCTAGTAGGAGAAGGTGTGTAAAAGCTCTTTGCAAACCTTACAGCTGTACACTGATGCCAACTATTATTATTATTAGCTAGTTAATTTACCCGATTTCCCCCAAAAGGTCACCATTGTTGACCTTTTACCAACTATAAGAGAAAGCAAAGCCAACTGACCAAAAATAAAAACATGGAGGCCTAAAT